TATGGTTCATGGGGTCACGGAGAGTCGGACACGACTTAACGACTAAACAACAACAACAATATGCTTTTATAGCAAACTACTGCACGGTATCATAGGAAGTAGTTTCCATAGGAAAAGTTCCTTTAATTATACTTTCATCATGGTGCTTGGTCAGGTGTGCATTGTATAACATCTGGGGGGAAAAAGTCATTTGTATTTGAAATGGTTTCCTGTTTCTTTGTGAAACGTTCCAGGAGGCGAGTATCTTTGGAAATCAGATATATGAGTGACAGCACACCCTGTTCTTTGCCCTTTGACTACACTACAGAAAAGGAATCAAAAACCACCTGATGCTAGACTTTTATAGCCCCCTCCTATTCACATTCAGTGAAGCCCAACAGCAAAAGGACAGCCATTCCTTTGCACTTCCAAAAAGTTCAGTAAAAGTCAGACATAGGAAATTCAGAACTAAAAAAAAAGGAAATGAGATACAAAGCTGGATTCCGACCTTCTAATTAAATTAAAAAAACAAAACTTTCCCAAATGAAACCAAAACTTTCTGTCCATTGTAATATTGTATACACACAAAATCATTATCAGAGACAGTTTAAAAATAAATTAAAGTGACATTATGCACACAAGTCTGCAGGTACAAATCCAAAACGTTAGCAAGTATTATTTGCATATGCAAGAAAGCTTGTGAGAACTGTAGCAAGCCCAATCTCTATCATTAAATTGAAATGTTCTGAGAAATTTAGTCCAGAAAATCTGCCGCCTCTTTCAGAAAAAGTGCTTCGGTTTAGGAAGTGTTACTTGCAATAACCTGGATTCTTATTTGCCCGCTCACTCAAATGACTATTTGTACTGTTTCTCTATCATCCATTTTTCCACGCTTCAAGCAACAGCTAGACATCTTCTCCCAATACTTATTGCAACAAGGCTCAAAGAGACCTGGGTTCAAGTCTTTTCTCTACTTCTGATTCACTGGCTCTGAGCAAAGAGCCTATTCAGAGCCTCAGTTGCCCAGCTGCATTTCTCACAACCCACTTGGACACCTTCACCTATTCTTTCCCTTCCATTCATATTTCTACCACAAAGAAATTTCTCCATGGCTGGAACAACATTCTCCTGAAGCCTCAACCTTGTTCCCTTTTCATAAAGGCTATGAAAACTGGGTTTTTTAAGCAGGCCCTGGGGCAGGGTGGTTTGTTACCCTGCTTTTAACTTATATTTATGTGATGTACAACAGGTGTTCTTTTTCTCCAACATGGGTTTTAGCAATGTTATTATTTGTTTCATTTGCCTTACCTTCTTCTTGTTTTACACTTAATTTTCAATTGCAACTGAGGTGGCCTAAAAGTCTGTTAAATAAATAAATAAATTTGTTGCAGAGAAGTCCTTACATTGCAAGGCTTCAGGCGCACTGGAAATGGTATCAGGCAAATATCTCTTGTGGATGGTGAAGATTTTTCAAATCTATTATCTGTTCTTCTGGGAGGCTTTACTTCTGCAATGTGTACTCTTCCATGCTTTATTTTGCGTTAGTTTTATTAGGCACGCTTGTGTTTTTTACTTCTCTTCTTGAACTTGGTAATGGAGCCCAGCCCTTTCCTTGAGCATTTGCTCTCATACGTCTTTTTGGAACTTACCTTCCATTGAGACCACGCACCTGCTTTGTGCTTGCATCATAGTACAGGCAGAAACAATCTCCACCTAGGCCTGTACTGAATGGTTCGGTAACATTTAAAGCAGCGGCTACAGCCACAGCAGCATCTACAGCATTGCCACCCATCTTTAAAATATCTGCAACAAGGAATTTCATTAAGAATATGGCAGTAGTGGAACCATACATGAAATGATAGACATTATCCTCCCAAAATTTACAGATTCCACCCATTAAAGAATAATAAATCAAATACCAAGGCCAATATTTGTGGCAAGAGATTGGCTTGATGCAACACAGCCATTACAGCAAACCACTGGGGATCGTCGAGAACAGAATTTAAGCTGTGACATCTTCCTGGAAGTGGGGATGCTATGAAATCTGCATACAAAAGAAAGGAATATAGTAGCCAGAGTTAACACAGAATCTTAAAATAGTAAGAGGCATGTGAAGCCACAAATATTTTCCATTTTTAATTTAATACTCAGCCTGACTCTGTCCCAATTCTGGGTGGTGTACAACATGAAAACATTAAAAATAATTCAGAGATCATACAAAACAAACATCTGGAAAAAGGACATCAACACTACTAAAACAAACATCCCACAGGGGTCTACCAACCACCCTAACCCAAAGCCTTGGGATGTTTTAAGGGCTCATTTCAATAGGGTCAAGGTGGAGATCATATGAATCTTGGGAAGAACGTAATTCCTGACAGCAGGTGTTGTGACTGAGAAGGCCCGCTGCTTACATTCCATCAGGTGATGCTGTCTAATTGATGGGACCTGAAGCATGCTGATTCCGTCTAAATGTATAGAAATGGCAGAAGCTATAAAAGGCAGGTAACTTCAAATAACCAGCGCTGATAACATGAAGAGCTTTTAAGTGATAACCAACTATTTTCTGAAATTCTTATATTGCTAGCTAATTTAAAATATCAAATCAGGAGGACATTAAAGGAGGTGCCAGGACTGAAATGACACCAGCACCAATGGAATTCAGACTGAAGGTTTTGAACACAGTGAGTTTTTATTGAATTAACTGAATGAATTTTCATTTGAATAGCTTGATATTGGAGCAAGTTGTAACACTGGCTTCACACTGCATTCTAAGCCAGACTTGTTTACTGAACCATTCAGCTGGATTCAAACATCATACCAAGCCGTGGCCCATACTGTAGTCAAAACCACATTTTGTTTGTGGTTCAGTGCAACATACAAACATAGACATTTTTTCAGGCCAAAAAAAAAAAAAAAACTTCTTCAAGGAACCACAGGGATCCAGTAAAAGGGGAGGGAAATTGAATGGAAGGCCAAGCTATTAGTTCATGTACATCATTTTCCATGACACCTATATGAGCAATAATGTGCTTAGATCAATAGTAATGTAATTCCTGGTGGCTTTATGGACATGTCCAACAATACAGAAGTGGTTTGCCATGCATCTTCTAGTCTAGTCCAGAATCCTGGAATTTGCTGGTTGTCTGCTAATCAAGTATTAACCAGATCCAAACCTAACTAGCTTGTTGAGATAAGCCAAGGTGGGACAGGGTGGTGCCACCTAGGTACAAATTACCTCACTTTGAGATGTGGTAAGGAGGCCCTATAGGGTTTGGGAACCCAGGACTCCATTAAGAGAAAAATTGTTCCTGCTTGGACAACTTATCAATGTCAGCAACCATTAGCTATTGAATGAAATCTACCTTGCTGCTAGGGAATTTTGATCATATATATTCATGCCTGTATGTGTTGACTCTTTCAACCTGTTCTTGGATTTTTTGGAAGCTTTCTGCTTTTGTGGGCTCTTCCATTCAAAGTTTCAATATACTTGGTGGATACGGAAACATGGTGGAAGAAGTCTTTTATTTTTCACGCACTTAGAACTTTTATTGCCTTAGCCAGTTGTGCACCAAAGATATACACCAAGCCCTGCAAACTCACACTGATTGGGTTGCAAGGGTTCTCTGAACTTTGCTTTTCACACCTTGCAGAAAACACCTGTAAACGAGAAACCAAGCTCAGAGAACTCCTGCAATGCAACCGGTGTATTTCAACTAACTCTACCCCAGAGCTACGTGTATGTGCCTCTAGGGCAGGGTCCCCAAACTCTTCAGCTCACTGACCCCTTCATGAAGTTTCAGGTTGTTCATTAACCCCCAAACATTTATCTATGTAAAATAATGTATGAATTATTTATAAATTATATGGAAATAATTTAATAAATACTTTAACTTATAGTACTACAAATAACAACAACCCTTTGGATAGTCCGATCGACCCTTGGGAGTCAGTACTGACCACTCTAGAACCCCGCTCTAGGGCTAGTATGTCTCAAAGGGCGCCCTTCCTTTTTAAAATGCAGGGAGGGGTCAAAATAAAGAAGTCGGGACTCCCCGGGCAGCGACGTGTTTTTTGGAGAGACGCGCTGGTGACTTTAATCAACAACAAAAAAGCATCTTTCTAGGAAGAGCTTGGGAAATGAAGGCGCCTTTCTTCAGCTTGGCTAGCAGACCGTGAGCCCAACCCGTCTGGAGGAAGGCGCCCCGTTTCGGAAGGCGGTGCTTGTCCGCGGATTAAGTCACCCACGAGAATCTCTCCGTTCCCGACGTGCAAAGGGCGGCCCTCTCCTAATGCAGGCAGGTCGAGGGGAGACGAGGCTCGACACAGCTCCACCTGACTAACGCAACTCTTGCTCCTCCGACCACGGGACGCAAACGCTAAGCCCCATTTCCTCAAGCAGGACGAGAGTCCACCTCCTCCTACCTTCGCGCTGCGACGCCCCCACTTCACGACGCAACAGCGGCACTTGGCACAAAAACAAAAACAAAAAGGCCCCTGGAAACCTGAGCAACGTGTATTTGCGCTGTACTCACGTGACTGCGGGACACGTGACGACTCTGCCCAGTCTTGTCTGCTGGCTCTGGGAGTCGAGGATGCCGCAGAGCGGAGGTTGGCGCTTGAAGCAGGAATATCTGGAAAATGAGCCTCAGCCCCTTCGCCTATTCTGGCACGGCGTCTAATGAGGTGTTAAGCACATCCAGTCGGCGTTTGCGACGTATTTGACCAGGGAAGTGTCAGTCACAAAATGAGTCTTTGCTTTAGCCTTTTATCTGTTTAAGGAAGGCAGATTTGAGCCATCCATTATGCTATAAGTATTTGAGCAGAATCATTTGACGTGCTTAACATGCATGACCTCCAGACAGCACGTGCTGGCTGTTTTTTTAGCATTCCGATCCTGCAAAAGTCCGAAGGTGGGTGGATGTCTGCAATTCGGCTCCCTGTATTTCCATTTCAAAAGAATTCTGCATCACTCTGCTTCTAATTGCACCTTACATCAATAAATATATTTTTGCACCATTGTTTTTGCTCATTGTTAGCCAGTGGCCCTGTAAGCAAGGGTGTGCAGGAAAGCCCCAAAAAATCAAAGTAACAGAATTATAGTTTAACTGATTCATGTTACTGCCTTGAAAGGAAAATATTGATCTCTCTA